TTTCTGGTGGCATACACTGTGCATTTATGCACAGTCAGTATCCCCATGCGTGATCTCAGCTTACTAAGTGATGATGGTGGTTGTTGAAATGGAAAACTGAATAGAAAAATCCAGTAACATCTCAAACGAATTTCCATCTGCTGTGAATGCATGTTTCGTTACATCAAATAAATAACCCAATTTTATTGAATGTATTCAAAAACATGGTACCAATGATCTGAAATTTCAGGAGTGCTCGCTGAAGGTTTATCAATCTTGCTTATTGTCTTGTTCTTTTCCAATCCTGCATTTGAGTTACCCGGTACTAGAATTTATACTGAAAAAAAATAGTTTCTGTTTTTCTTCTAATAATTCGGCCACCCTCAAAAACAGATATTTTTCCATGGTCGAAATGCAAGAAGAATACAAAACTACTGTGATTGCATAGCGATACCTGTAGGGCCATTGTCAATTAGTTCGCCTGATCAACACAGCGTTATACATAGGGCTGTTATTGAATCACAGAGAGTAAAATCTTGTGATACTAATCTCTAGAATCACTCAGATTGGTACATATGTCATATGAACCCACATGTGTATATCATTAACAATACTCATTTTAAACTTTTTTTTTTTTTTTTTTTTTTTTTTTTTACAGTGGTGCTGTGAACTGCTTCAATTTCGCAAGGCAATTTTTCCTGGATTCCTACAACATGGAGTGTCAGGGACTTTATTGAAATTTCATAGAATCCTGAATATATCTAGAAGTGAAAATTAAATGGTTTACAGTATTTTATACCCATTAATAATGATTGAAATGCAATAATATCACTGCACTAAAAAGACTTCAAACAATTATTTGTTTCTTCTCTATTGAAGGTTATGAGCAGACCAACCTTTACTGGCTTTCTTAATTATTACATGTACCGGTACTTGCTCTGAAAACATAGCTTTTACAATTGTTTAAATTAACAGATGTTGTTCTATGTACAGTAAATACATTTTAAATAATAAACCTTACTGCATTAATAACAAATTGTATTTGACAACATGAGAATGATTCTGATGCCCAGTGGTGATGTTGAA